GTATAATTATATATGTAATTGCATATGCACATTAGCTAACTGCCCCGTCACCTGGGCTTGGGACCCATGCACAGCCAGCGGTGACAGGCGATTGAGATGGAAAATGCCAGACTGACGCAGCGACTGTGCCATGACTGGAAAAACCTTTGGCTGGGAAAAGTTTCTGAGGCATGCGACACAGCGACTTAAAAGTGCGCGCAATTGTCAACTCGCGGGCAATTTGGCACATTCCTGGCCGCCTCAGTGTTAAACTGGGACGCGCAGCTTAAATTCTCGACGAATGCAATTTAGTTAACGGCTATGCTATATTTAAGCCATATTTGGCGGGATTCTGTCAAATGCTTAAGAATCCAGCGCGCGCTTGAGTGACGGCTGTCAATCAAGCGTCCTAAGTTGAAGTGTTGACGCACTGTCAAATTATGTTTGTATATGAAAGCAATGCAATTAGCAGCTGTAAATAAAACTCTCAGAGAGTGGAATGCACAATGTGCATTTGATCCATATTGTACTTACATACATACAAACTGATGTGTGTGCAAGCAGTTTTGGCGTTGCCAGATAGACGCTGTATAAACATTGAAGCGATAGTATCGATGCTTGCCCTATTTATTCGATAGCATGCCTTCGATTGTAAACAAACGCACTGCAACATCTCAATCGAATAATTGCAAAGTGAAGTGAAAATTGTGAAAAGAAAAAGAAAATAAAATTTTCTGGAGGATGGCCTCGCTAGAACCAACGCAAAATAAAACATGGGATCTGTCGCTGTACGAGCTGCAGCGCAAGCCGCAGGAAATAATAACCGATAGCACAGAAATTGCCGTCTCACCGCGCAGTTTGCACAGCGAGCTAATGTGCCCCATTTGCCTGGACATGCTGAAGAAAACCATGACGACCAAAGAGTGCTTGCATCGCTTCTGCTCGGACTGCATTGTGACTGCACTGCGTTCGGGTAACAAGGAGTGCCCAACTTGCCGCAAGAAGCTTGTCTCGAAACGCTCGCTGCGTGCTGATCCCAACTTTGATTTGCTCATCTCGAAAATCTATCCCAGCCGGGAGGAATACGAGGCCTCGCAAGAGAAAATCATGGCCAAATTCAATCCAACACAATCACAAAAGGCGCTTGTCAACTCTATCAACGAGGGCATCAAACTACAGTCACAAAATCGGCCGCAACGTTTCCGCACTAACAAGGGTGGCGGCGGTGGCCCTGCTGGTGGCGCTGGCGGTGGTGGGGGTAATAATAGCGGCGGTGTTGGCGCTGCCAATGCCACTCGTGCCGGATCCAATGCAGTGCATGCCCATGATACCGCTTCCAATGACAGCAACAGCAATACAAATGGCAATGATCGCGAGCAACGTGATGCCCCTCAAGCAACAGCTGTTGGAGCAACTCCTGGACCAGCAGCCGCAGCTGCTGCGGCGCCAATGACACCCAGCACTCCCACGGCTGCAACATCGGCGGGCACTTCGGGCGCCAGCACTTCATCAAGTCGCATGCAAGTGGATGATGTATCAAATCCGCCATCAGTGCGCAGCACCCCATCTCCGGTGCCATCAAATTCGAGCAGTACAAAGCCCAAACGCGCCATGTCTGTGATGACCTCGGAACGCTCCGAAGAATCTGAGTCGGACTCACAAATGGATTGCCGCACCGAAGGCGATTCAAATATCGATACCGAAGGCGAGGGGAATGGCGAGCTGGGTATTAATGATGAGATCGAGCTGGTATTCAAGCCGCATCCCACAGAGATGTCCGCAGATAATCAGCTAATCAGAGCACTCAAGGACAACTGCATACGGTACATAAAGACAACAGCGAATGCCACCGTGGACCATCTCAGCAAGTATCTAGCGATACGTCTAACGCTGGATTTAGGCGCCGATCTGCCAGAAGCCTGCCGGTTGCTCAACTTTTGCATCTACGTCGCACCGCAGCCACAGCAGTTGGTCATATTGAATGGCAACCAGACGCTGCATCAGGTCAATGACAAATTCTGGAAGGTAAGTTAAACATTTGCCACCTGTGAGGCATTAAACTAAAACGGCATTTAATCCCAATTTGCAGGTGAACAAGCCCATGGAAATGTATTATTCGTGGAAGAAAACCTAAAGGGTTCCGTCTCCTAGTTCAAGGCATTTTAGTTCTTAACATTTATTTCCATCATCGAAATATATATGTTTATAGGTTTACCTTTATAATTAATGTGCTTCGCAAGAATATATATACATATATAGAAATACAACATATGGACGCGATGGTCGTACGGCTGCAATGTGTACAAAAGTATTTTGTACTTGTATTTGTATTTTCATTTTCCTAGAATTTTGTAGCACTATTTTTAGTGAAAAAAATTAAACCTGTCAAAGGATTGATTATGATTCACAAACTAAGATCAGCAGGTTAGGTGTTGAGGCTGTATTTATGTGTGAATCGGCAGGATCGAACTACTATATCTTTTACCAGCCATAGGTGTGTTTGGTCGGAAATTGAGACGATCTATAGGAAGAACCGCACTTAAAATGAGTTTTTGTGTGTTTATCAAATATCTTGAACAAACCCAACAACAATTATTTGATAAATCCATGAGACATCTACAATTAGATTTAACCTTGTGCCAATGCTAGCAATAATGTTGTAATGTTCTCTAAGGATTGCGTTATATTTAATTCTTGATTCAGAGTTATTTTTGAATATGAAATAACATTGCAGAAAATGTGTCAGCAATATGAAAATATATATTATACTTTGCAGTCCCATTTCTTAGCATTCAATGCGGTAAATAAAATCATTTGGGCGAATTTAATGATAAGAAAAATAATGTGGGTGCAGTTTCTTTGATAAAAGGCGAAAACCTTTTTAACTTTTCATTTATGTTAGACGTTTTAACGTACAACTATATACTTATTAACAGAATTGTGATATAAATATACAACATATATATTTATATAATTTTATTGTAATAATACACATTGTGAGGAACTCTTAAATTAAGTAAATTGTAATTATGCTACTGTAGCTAAGCGTCACACGGTTTCGTTATTAATATGACTAAATATTTTGATTCAATCAAATCGATTGCTGGACATAAAAAGGCGCTGGGATCAAATTTGTTGAGGCAGAGTGCGTTTAAGAAAAAATGTTTACATTGTTTACGTCTAGAAGCCAACTGGACCATATTTAATATGAACACAAAAGGCACCATTCTTTACTTTACCATGAATCATTTAGGTATTCTACGCATTTTAGCGAGTATAGCGTTTCTGAAGTCCTGAAAATCGCTGCTCGCTTCGATCTCGTTCCGGCATTTACCCTGAATACGATAGAGGCCCAGCTTTATCTCTGAGGCCTGACCGTTACGTGTGCGTCTGGTCAGATCTTGTTCGAGGTCATAGGCCAAGCCCAAATCGCAGAGCTCATCGATTTCATCCTGAGTAAATGTGCGCTGCTCTTCCTGCAAAAATTCAGCGCATTTCTCATAGATGTCCAGATACTGCTCCGTTTCATTTTTGTCGCCTGCACGCTGAAGCTCCAGATACCGGCGGAGCAGCATAGCCGCGGCACTGTCCAGAAGGGTTTGATGAACACTATTGGTGAGAGTGTAAATACGCTGCACTTCCGCAACGGTCATGTCCGAGCAGCCGCAAAAGCATTTTATCAGCTGCAAAGTTTTGCTCTACGTGCAAATGACGATAAACATATCATTTGTATTTGTTTACCATAGCAGCGCGCGACATATGGGTACAAACCTTGTGTGATGAAGACGCTGCCATAATGAAACAGTTTAATTATCAATAAATAATAAACTTTTGTGTGCTGATGGCGTTGTCTGCTCCATGGACTTCCACTGGCTGACTAGACTGGCATCGAGCAAAACAGTGCGGTTGCTTAGTGGACGTAAAAAAGCATGATGAATTCACGGCTGTTCGCAGGCCAGGTAGAGATGACATTTAATCAATAATACTATCGATAACAGTTTTTCCAAAATAGAGACTTTAATTATTGGTTTACTGAATCTTTAATTTTTCAGAAAATCGAAAGTGTTTAATGGTTTTTACAGAAGTATTGTTCGTTTGTATTTTTAAAAAAGTTGACAATTATTAATATAACTAGCGGGTATAACCCGGCCTTGCCCGTGGCACGTATGTCAATCAATGTTCTCAACAAAATTTTAAACTGATCGGACGGTAAACAAATAACTTTCTTACAAACGGTTTCCGCCAATTTACCACTGTTGCGAGTGGAATTTCATAAATCGCTGAAATACGTATCTATTAAGTTCTTATGTAGAGCTTTGAAAATAAGTTTGAAGCAAATCGGACAGAACTTACAGCTTCGCCCAAAAAATCTTTAAATCGCATTCCCCCCGAAGAAGTTTGAATTCTGCGATAAGTGTGAAACACGTCTCAAATGATTTTTCTTATAGATCTCTGGAAATGAATTTGAGCGCGAAATGTCACCCACCAAATCTTTGACCTCCATTTTCACCAAGGAGGAATGGATTTTCCTAAAAGTGTGAAACACCCCTCAAATGAATTTGAACAAAGATCTTTGAAAATAAGTTTGAGGCCGATCGGATGGTAATCAAAAAAGTTACATACAAACATTTTTCGCGATTTTTCCACACTTGCGGGTGGAATTTCCTGAAACCCCGCCTTAACGTGCACCTACATCACATAAGGTAACTACAGTGAAAATTTCAGCTTCCTAGCTCTTACGGTTTGGGCTGTGCGTTGATCACCAATCAGTCAGTCAGTCAGTCAGGACAAACAGTTTTATATATAGAGATATATTTACTTAAATTAAACATTTACTTAGTTGGCTGTTTTTAATTGAATAATTATAAATATTTAAAATCAAATATATTATAGTCATTTTTATCGCGTGTCAAACGAAGGTAATGTTGCAATTTGAACACTGCAAAGTCTATGCCTGGCCGCTGGCCATGCTACTCCCGATGTTAGTAGTTAACGTATGCGTATCTAGATTCGAATTTAAATAATGGCGTCAACAAATCAAGATTTATTGATTGATAGATATACTTAATACTAATGCTTAATTCGTCCCGCAACATGTTCACTGAACTCTTTTAGCTGAGGAAGTAGCGAGATCTCGTTGGCACAGTCCTCTTGCATTTTTTTGATAATTTTGTTAGAGATAGATCGATTGCCACCAAGAGATGCCTTAAGCTCTGGCCTTATATTATTGGGAATGCCCATATTGGACAAGTCATCGAATTCATCTTTCGTTAGGGGTTTTTCCTTCTCCTGCAGCAACGTTTCATATCGTTCATAAAGATCCATTTTGTTCAACAATGGACTGTTATTGCCCAATTCGCGTTTTTTAGTGTAATTCCGTATTTGTTCTTTGGCTGCTTTATCTTTCAGCAAGAGATTAATATCTTTCAATAGTGGGGAAATTCGTGTAACTTCGCCATTATCCATATTAGTGAGATCTACAAAAAGAGAATATGCAAATACATTAGCATTGAAGTTTATATACAGATAATTGCTTTTTGTTGAGAGATTACATTTTCTTTAATATATAACACTAGATAGATAAAGTTCAATAATAGACAGGTAACATACACCTGCAAGACGTAGGCTATCTTTCTTTCGCGAATAAACTATATTTTTTACAGAAGTATTCGTAAGTTAAATTAAAGCCAATGCAATTGCAATTGCTCAGACATGACCTCATCAACTTTAGTGTCGCTGCTTTTTGCACTATTTGACTTTGATTTGACTTTCGACAACAATCTTTTGGACGGTCATGTACACCAGATTGATGTACAGAATAGTACTTACAATGTTTTTCTTTTGTTAGCAACACAAATGCCTATTTGAATTAGTTTTAACTTCTTTTATATTTAACCCTGCGAAAGGTATGCGCCGGTAGCCGCAGATGTTTTGCTCTGCACTGAAATTTTGTTCAGTCATTGCTCAACAATGTGGCACACAGACAAGACAATACACATACAATCTTACTATCTACGGTAGTGGCCACGTAAATAGGTACGGGTTTTTATTTATTTCAGCTTAGTATTTTTTTCGTGTTTACCTAATGCGCTTTAATTTTTTAGGTAAAAGTAATTTTAATTATAATAAAAACAAGAAATTGCTACCCCAAAGAATCGCCTAAAACTAAATAATATAGTTACCGGAACTAGAGTTATGTTTGATTGATTGTATTTAATAGTATGGAGTCTTTATTATTATAGAGTTTGCTTTTCATAAATGATTTCATATATGATCTACAACTTAGACTTGAGTGCCTTCATTAGCTTCTCCAGCTTGAGAGCCTTTTGAAAATCACCGCTTATCTTTAACTTTCCGGACATGTATGCTGGTGCAGCCTTTAGTTTGCCAGAGAACATGTCAAAGAAGTTGTTCGAATTCATGGTGAGCGTAGCGTCTGGAGTAGCTGGTGGGGCGCCAGTGCCGCAGGCGCCAGTGCCATTTTTCAAGTCCAGAAACCAGGTGCCCTGCTTGGCACCGCTGATGTTGAACTGGAAGACGGCCTGCGTCTTGGAGACGATCTCAGCTGAAAGCAAAGATTCGATTTTCTTAAAGAGCTGCGGTATTTTATCATCGCCAGAGTCAGCTGCAGGCGCCGCTGCACCGTCGGCAGGCGCATTCTTGGGCTCCAAAAAGAAGTCATCCATCAGCTTGTCGGCATTTTCGCGTACGCAGGCGTAGTCGGTGAGATCCTTAATGCCCACAGATTCTAGCACCTCATCGTCAACGAAGAACTCGCCGGTGAACTGTTTGGGCTCTCTGGTTAGTATAGCATAGGCCGCATCGGCCATGATCTCCGGTTTACGTGACCAGCTGGCACTATCGGGGCCAGTCAGCATCTCAATTGCAGCGGTGTGGATGGCAGTGCGCGGCCAAAGGGCATTCACGGCAATGCCGCGATCCCGGAACTCCGCCGCCATGCCCAGCACGCACATGGACATGCCGTACTTGGCCATAGTGTAAGCCACGTGCGGAGCAAACCATTTTGCCTTCATGCTGAGCGGTGGCGAAATGTTCAAAATGTGAGCGTGGTTGCTCTTCTCCAAATAGGGAAGGCACTCCTTGGAGACCAGGAATGTGCCGCGCGTATTGACCTGATGCATTAGGTCGTAGCGCTTCATGTCGGTGTCGGGTGTTGTGGTCAGTGAAATGGCACTCGCATTGTTCACAACAATATCGATGCCACCAAATTTGGCCACTGCCTCCTGAATGGCTGTTCGTACCTGCTGCTCGTCACGAACATCCACAATGCAAGGATGCGCCCGTCCGCCAGCCTTTTCGATCTCCTCGGCGGCTGTGTAAATTGTGCCCGGCAGCTTGGGATGCGGATCTGCTGTCTTAGCGGCAACCACAATGTTGGCACCGTCGCGAGCTGCCTTCAGCGCGATTGCCTTGCCAATTCCCCTGGATGCTCCCGTAATGAACAGTGTGCGTCCTGCTAATTTTCCAGAATTAATCATTTTGTGGTCCAAAGTTTAAACCGCTCGATCTGAAGAGTCTGAACTATCTGAACTGAAAACAGTTTGAATTACAATCAACATTAAAGAGAAAGTCCAAAGTGCAATCAGATCGACCAGCCAACATATTCACAGTGGAGAGAGCCAAAGAGTTCGGCATAAGGCAACCTTTAGGTGCGCTATAACTGAACAAACGATGGGACAAGAGTACAAATTGCCCTAAACACTTGTTAATTAAAACTGTAGACCATAAGCAACTTATGTTTTATATCTTATCATCGAAATTATGCCTAAATTATATATTTTTGTATTGAAATGCTGAAAATTGAATTGGCAGCGTTGCCACCTCGCTATTTTGTGTGAATGGCGTTGCGACAGTGAATGCTAATGGTAAGAAGCAGAAAACCACTGAATTTATTTGTTTACAGTTGAAAAGTTGTTAAAAATAAAATAAAACTATTTATTTATAATAAATGGCTGCCACGCGCTCGCGTCGCCACAATGCTGGCAACAAAATAGCCAAGTTGCTCGATGAAGAGGAGGACGATTTTTATAAAACTTCATATGGCGGCTTTCAGGACGAAGAAGGCGACAAGGAATATGTGTAAGTACTGTGTCTAGCCGTACGCCACCAAAGGAAATTTATTTAAAGGTATCTCGCTTCTAAAGACAAAAAGATGAAGAAGAGGATGTTGTGGATTCAGATTTCAGCATAGATGAACAAGATGAGCCCGTATCTGACCAAGAGGATGCGCCCGACAAAAAACGTAAACGCGGTGGCGTCAACACCAAAGCGTACAAGGCAAGTTGTGCTACACCTACTAAATAATGCGACCAAATATAATTTTTACTCAATAGGAACCGGCGAAACCAGCTATCAAGAAGGAAACAAAAGCCTCGCCTGCTCTGCACAAAAAGCGTGGCGGTGGGGGCGTTGTCAAGCGCAGAGTGCGCCCTCGCTTCACAGTCTTGGACTCGGGTCGCAAATCCATACGCACCTCCACAGCCATCAAAACACAGGCCACAAAAATACGACTCAAAGAACTGGACGATGCACGTAAGCGCAAGAAGAAAAAGGTACGCGTTGAAGATTACATGCCCACGCAGGAGGAGCTGCTTGAGGAGGCAAAGATAACCGAGGAGGAGAACATAAAATCACTGGGTTTGTTAACAAACATTGCGCCTGAAGTATAAGTAATTAAAATTGTTTTTCATTAACGATTACAGAGAAATTTCAAAAAATGGAGCTCGAGAAAAAGAAAACTCGTCCCACCAAACGAGTTTTCACGGGGCCAACTATACGCTATCATTCATTGACCATGCCCGTCCTACGTAACATGCCTACACGCACCACCACCATCCAACCAAATGATCCGAACAATGCAATTGGCAAATGCGAGCGTACGTTTGTAACCATTGAAAATGATTTCAATGATAAAGCTTTCCATGCAATTTTCCGTCCAAAACGCGCACCAAAGACCTCAAGCGGCATTTGTCCCATAACCAGACTGCCAGCTCGCTACTTTGATCCCGTTACCCAACAGCCGTACTACAGCATTCAGGCCTTCAAGATACTGCGCGAGGCCTACTACATGCAGCTGGAACAGCAGTGCAGCATCAGCGAACAGCCCGAGTTGGCCAAGTGGATGGAGTGGCGTAAGCTGGTCAAGGAGAATCGCCAGAAGGCGGCTACAGCGGTAAAAAATGTTAATTTATAAGTTAATATGTAAGATTTTTTATTAAAAACATATAACTTGTTACCAGCTATTCATATTATCAGTTAAAAAATCAGTCTTCATTTGAAAAATTGTGTGTTTATTAAAAAACAAGATATTTCCATATTATATTTTTTGACTGTTTCTTCTATTAGAGCTGTATGCTTTAGAATTACAATATTAAAAAGATTTGCTCATATATTTTTTTAAGATGTGTAAAACGAGAAAAATTTCATATGCACAAATTTACTTTTTAAATAATCCTTCCTATATTTTCTAATATAGTGGTTCGGATGGTTTCAATATATGTACTGCTTGCAACAGAAAGTCGGAGTTATGCGAGGTTTCAGCATGATGGCTTCGAAACTGACAGACAGTCAGACGGACATAGCTTTGTCAATTCAGATGTTGGTACTAATCAGAAGGCAGAAGTTTAAGGCTCTCATGGGCCGAAATTAGAAATAGACTCCGTTTTGATGATACTAATCGAAATATATATACTTTAAGAGGTTGGAGAAATTATAGAGAAACGATTTATGCTTAATTTAAGCTAGCACTATTCCAGGAAAATTTAAAGTGAATACTTTAAGGAATCGAAATCCGTCCAATATCTTCTTACTACCAAACTTTAAAAACTTATATTTTTCTAATCTTTAATATTCCACTTCAAATTTTCGAACCGCTACCAATTTAATTTATTAATTTCCTAGTTCAACTACACATAAGCATACAAAATTCGGCACGTAATGAAAAGCAACTAATCTTAAGTTAGCTAATTGTTAAGGCTAGCTAAAATATCTGTAGTTAATTTAGTTTTACGTTCATGCTGTCCTAAATTGTTAAATGAGCGTGTTTTCGTCCTGACCCTCGAATACCATCAGCAGCGAGTGCTGCGAGGGCGAGCGGCCCAGTGTGAGCGCACCGAGCGAGCCGTCCGGAGAGAGTAGACCCGTCTACCGAGTCCCAATATATTTCGCCGATGGCCTTGGGCTGATGCTCCTCCTGTGCGAGTGAAGTGACCTGTGGAATTAGTTTTGGATTAGCTGAAAGCCGAACAAGAAGTCAATTGTCAAATTGCTTACAATGCTGGGCGGCTCCATGGGCGTCAGGCGACTGCGCTTGAGCCGGAACGTTTTGCGACTGGCTGCCTTGGAGCGCTGCAGGCGCGACCGTGTGTGATCGCCTAAACTATCTTCGTCGGGGCTCTCGGCTGATAGTGGCGTTGTTGAGGTTTCGCCGGAGGAGTGTCGGAATTCCAAAGATGAAACGAAACGCAATTTGGGAGGCTGTGCCTTGAACAGGGCCTGCTGGGACGGTTGTCATGCCATGTCGCGGACCGCTGCCCAAAAAACACGATTTCAATATCGATTTTTATTGATTACTTGTAAACCGGGCGAGTTATCGATTATCGGAAACAAACTCGTATGTGCACCAGGAGGATCTAATTCCAAATTTCAAGTTTCCAGCTCTTATAGGTTCTGAGATTCTTGCGTTTATACATACGGACGGACAGACAGACGGACATGGCCAGATCGACTCGGCTATTGATGCTGATCAAGAATATGGGGTTGGAGATGCTTCCTCCTGTTACATATACATTTGACCCTTTTTCCCATTTTTAATGGGTTCAGGGTGTAAAAAAAAATAATTCGACCGCTTCAAGTTACAGTTTGATGCTGAGTTCTAATCGCATTTTAAAACATTATCGAAAAGAAGATGCCGAGTGTCAGTTCATTTTTAGCTCTGAAAGAGAATAGCTGTCTGAGCTGCACAGCAAGAGTCATTGAGCAAAAAGTGAAGTGTATAAAATGGTTTTTAGAATCTCATTTGTCATATTGGTATTGTTGCTGGGGACCATACAAGCACAAGACCAGGTAATTAATACTTTTATTAAAATGTAAGAACATATAACTTAATTATTTGAATAGTATTCAAATCAACTGAAGGAAAAAATAGCTGAGCTTCAATTAAAATTGGTTGAGGATATATTCAAGGAAGAACTGATTAAATCTTTAAGGGAAGCGAACGAGTTGCTACTGAATAAAAACTGCACAAGCACAAGCTGCAGTGCATCTGAAGTGGATCTTAAGCAAGAAATAATAGAATTACAGACCACCGCCAATAGCCTTCAAGTAATGGTTTACAATAATAATCAACAAATGCAATCAATAATGATTGAAGACCAGCTGCAGATGTGTCAGGCTCTACTGGAAAAAACTAAGTCAAATCCAAGAATTGAAAGGCCGGAAGCAACCAGCTGTGTTCCGTTTGGCTTCTTTACAGGAATCAGGGTACTTTACTTGCCTGGAGCAAGTCCCTTTCGAGTTTTGTGCGATGGTCACTCAATAGGACCTGGTTGGACTCTCATTCAACGAAGATACGATGGTTCAGAGGATTTTTATAGGAATTGGGGTGATTACCGTAACGGTTTCGGCAATCTGGATAAAGAGTTTTTCCTAGGTCTAGAATATATATATCGCCTGACCAATTATCAGCGTTGCGAATTGTATATCTACATAGAGACCTTCGATAATGAAATCACTTGGGCTCGGTATGATAATTTTGTTATTGGTAGCGAAGCAGAAAATTACAAGCTGACCAGTGTTGGTAATTTCACTGGTATTGTAGATAGATTGACTAGTCATCTGAACATTGAGTTTTCGACCTATGACCGGGAAAATAGTCCAAATAAATATTCCGAAAAGTATCACGGTGGCTATTGGTTATTTGACGGCTTAAACCTTGGAGGGTAAGTTATCAAATAACTTTAATTATTTAACAAATTTGAAATAACAATTGTTATATTTTTAGTAACCTTAATGGGAGATATTTGCCGTACAAAGTCGATGATCAGCAAAGCATTAATTGGGAAACATTTAATTCTGTCAAAGCAGTGAAAATGCTTATTCGCCCTAAGATGGAATATAAATAAAACTAATAAGAGTGCACTGTCTGGAGTACCCGACTAAGCAATTTCCTGCGGCTTCCTTTTTAAATTGCTTAAATAAATATGGCACCCAAATCTGTGTAAATACCAAAGATGAAGACTAGACTAAAAGTCTGACAAAAATCCCTTTTCTTTTCTTAAATTTTGGTCGGAATGGTGTCGGGTATTCCAAAAGTTAAATATAATTTGGAGAGTCTATATATTGAATCGAGCACGATATTTTCGTGCACTAGAAGTATCTAAGTCAAAGCTCTTTTTATCTTTTATACCCTGAACCCACTGAAAGTGGATAAAAAGGGTATAATGTATTTGTGCAAATGTATGTAACAGGCAGAAGGAAGCATCTCAGACCATATAAAGTATATATATTCTTGGCCGAGTCGATCTGGCCATGTCCGTCTGTCTGTCGAGTCGTCGCAGATCGAGTTTGTTTCCGAT